GTTGTAATAACTAAAAATGTATCCAAACATTGTCAAATGCCCCATGAAAAGCAAATTTGCTTCCCTCATCCCTGGTTGAGAACCACTGCTCTACAGAATAGTTTCAAAGGGAAAAAAATGAAAAGAAGAAAAAAGGGAAATAATTGGAGCTCTTCCCTGCTCTACAAATCCCCAGACCTCTACCTGAGGCTTATATCATTTCTTCCATATCCTTACAGTGGCTTTACCTTACCTGCCTGACCTATGTGCTCTCCCCCTTAAGCTAAGTGTCAGTCTAACAGGGAAGCACCTAACCAGCCAAGACACTTCAACAGTCAGGACCCAGCCTCATGGCTAATAGTTTTAATTTATGAATAGTTTCTTTCAACTTGTCCATCTACCTTAATTTTACCCAACGTACAATTCTTTCAGACTTGAATATGCTTTCATTAGCATGCATGTTCAAAAAACTGAACCCAGTGAAAGGTGACAAATGGTACAAACCTTAGACTAGGAATTTGTCTTCATCATACTTACATTAATGCACATAACTCATACAGCAAACAGCCCAAAGACCAGATATCTGATTTCTCATTGTAGGACATGCGATTCATTTGTTCCTATACAGGAAAAAAGGGCAAGAAAGTGGAAGGTGTTAAGAGTTTATCTTGTTTTGAAACTTATGAAACATATTAAATTACTCCTGAGATAAAAACAGAACCTCAAAGTTTTTAGCCTACACTTTATCTTCAAATTTATAATGGAAAAAAGGCATTGATCTTGTTCCACTACAATCTGTCATATATAGTTCATTCACTCATTTTTCATTCACAAATAAAAGTGCTTAGTATAAACTAAACACTGACAGTTCAGAGGTGAATATGAGAGACTTCCACTCTCAAGGCAAATCAAGAAACACCATTTTAAAAGAACTAGAGAACATTTAAGAATAATCAAAATACGTATCTAGTCCACATTTCAATGGATCTACACATAGCTAATGGAATTATCCATTTATATTTTTTCTTAGTCCACTGCACAAATCATAGAAGTAACTAATATTATCATTACCTATTTTAATGTTTGCCCTTCTTCCACATCTACAGTAACAACAGTCTACCAGAGCTCTTATTCTCAATAGCGGGAACAGAAGCAAGCACCACCCAAATCTCTAGGAGGCTGATTAGTGTTTTCAAGTCCAACTGGTCAATCTGATGCCACCTTTTGACAATCAGGGCCTTAGTCTGAACCACTCTAATTACAAGGGCAGGAGGGAAAAGGAACAAAAGAATAGGTTTCAAATTTTCCAAGAACCACTTCTGGATAATTATCTTTTATGTTAAAAGTGTTCTATTTGAAATTTGGTACAGTGAGAAAATGGTACTGTTCTGGCCATTTTAATCTTAATCAAAACAAAAATCATTAATTTACAAAGTTTTATACTATAGTCAGCTCTGTTAACATAATTTCTAAAGATTTGGAAAATCTTAGAAAGGTGAACTACTAAAATGCTAATAAATATTTCTTCATCTTTATCTGTTCAGATGTCATATAGTAACATATTAGTGCTATCCCAATTGACTTAAACATTTAAAAGCCATCAGGCAATATCTAACAACAGCCATAAACTGTTTATACCTTTTACCCCAGCAATTTAATTTTATGAGCTACACTCCAAGGAAATAACCAAAAGGGAAGAAAGAATAATTCATACAAATGGTGAAATATTTTGGAAACAAAATCTCCAGCAATATAGGTAAAGGGTGAGTGGACTCAGCAAGGTATTTCAGGAAAAGACAACAAAAAATAACATGTACAAAAAGTTAACACTGTAAAAACATGTTATCTGAAGTGAGCAAACTTTCTGAGCTCCGAATCTGCATGCACAAGAATCATTTAGAGTCTGTTAAAACGCAAAGTCCCAAATCAAAAGTATAACATTGAAACAAAAGCAAAATTCAGAGTTCAAGAACCTACCCAGAGATCAAAATTCACTGGATGGATCTGGGTTTGGGTTTGGGACCCAGAACTCTGCATTTTAAACAAACACTCCAAGTCAGTCTGATGCAGATCACCAGGATCTACACATTGGGAAACAGCTCTTGAGGGCAGGGACAAAATCCATTTCATTTTTGTAATCCTTGAGTTTAATGCATGGTAGTCATTCCATAAAGCTTGAACTGAATATGCTTTAATTTGCATGGATGCTCAAAAAAATTGAACGCAGTGAGAGACGACAAACAGTGTAAACCTTAGACTAGGAATTTGTCTTCATCATATTTACATTAATGCACATAACTCAAACAGCAAACAAAAACAGAGACTTTATTGGTCTGGCGGCCCATGTGGAAAAATATAACAGTATTATTAATTCTTGGCTTCTAGATATTACTGAACAAACAGAAAACTCAATTTCCCTGCTTCACAATGCTTAACATTAAAAGATGTTTTGGCCAGGTGCGGTGGCTCATGCCTGTAATCCCAGCACTTTGGGAGGCTGAGGTCAGGAGTTTGAGACCAGCCTGGCCAACATGGTAAAACCACGTCTCCACTAAAAATACAAAAATTAGCTGGGCATAGTGGCATGCACCTGCAGTCCTAGCTACTCTACTCAGGAGGCTGAGGCAGGAGAATCGAATCATTTCAATCTGGGAGACGGAGTTTGCAGTGAGCTGAGATCGCACCACTGCACTCCAGCCTGAGCAACAGAGCGAGACTCCATCTCCAAAAAATTAAAAGAAAAAATAAATAAAAAGATGTTTGAAAAGTATCTAAATTCTGATATACTTACAGGAGACATATAATAAGGCGTGCCAACAAATGTTTTTGCAAAACTCGTGTCATGATTTAATATTCTAGCTAGCCCAAAGTCTCCAAGCTTGACGTTTTGCTTGCCGTCCAGGAAAACATTGGCTGGTTTCAGATCCCGATGCAACACAGTATGACCACCATCACTTCGTCGGTGGCACTCCTTCAGGGCCAAAGTCAACTGAGTCATCACTCGTAGAACAAACTCTTCATCTAAGTATTGCCTGAAAGCAAAGCAATCATATAGCACATAACTTCTAAAAAAATCACTGCAAAAAGATTAGCTAGTGTACAAATAGAGAAATAAATTATTGATTGATTGATTAATATTTTTTTGAGACAAGATCTTTCTCTGTTACCCAGGCTGGAGTACAGTGGCACGTTCATGGCTCACTGCAGCCTCGACCTCCCAGGCTCAAGCAATCCTCTTGCCTCAGCCTCCCAAGTAGCTGGGACTACAGGCACGTGTCACCATACCCGGCTAATTTTTGTAGAAACAGGGTCCCATTATGTTGCCCAGGCTGGTCTTGAAATCCTGGGTTCAAATAATCCTCCTGCGTCGGCCTGCCAAAGTGTTGGGATTACAGGTGTGAGCCGCCACACTCAGCCTATAAATTGTTATTTTGCTATAAAATATGGGTGTTGATTCTCTGGGAATTTCCTAAAGTACTATGGACCTACCAAACAAATACAAGTCCACTCTTCCATATTACTGATCCTAAAACAAGATGTTTAAAACAAATGAAACTAGACCCACCCATTTTCAGCTACATTTTTAAAAGATTGCGTTTACCTTTCCTTGGTTCCCTTTGTAATTACACTAGCCAGATCCCCTCCTTCGCAATATTCCATTACAATGTACAGTGTTGTGTTGGTCCGGTCAATAATCCGATCATAGTAACGAACAATGTTTGGATGTTTCAGTTCACGAAGCAAGTTCACTTCAGAAACAAGCATCTGTTTCTCAGCTTCTGTCATGGAGCCATAGTCAAGTTCTTTCCAAACTAATATCTGAAAAAAGAATTTCCAAGGTATGAATGAACTCATTATGCCCAAAAACAAAGAATGAAAGTTCCAAGATTTAAAAAAAGACCTCCCTTTTACTATATCCTACAATCAAAGTCATTATCTAATTTAGTTCAATAAACTTAAGGAGCTCTGAGTTTACTTCCATAATCTTCCTCTAATTTTTAAGCGGTAAATGATGCTGCGGGAAAATAAGGGGAGAATGAGGCACATGAGGCCTTCCCCAACCCCTATTCTCAGTTTGTTAGTGGGAAGTCGGCAAAAAGGTACTTGAGTCAAAATGGGGTTGGAGGTGGTCAAAGTCCCTGCCCCATTACACCCAGGGCGAGAGAACTTGATAGAGATTCCTCCGTCAGCAGCCAGGCAGTTTGCTGTCCAGTGTTACTTTCCGTAAAAGGTCTACCTACATACAGTGGGAAATATGAATCCAATAATCGAATAATGGGTGCTTTGAGTGAATCTGACTGCAGATACAAAGCTTCGGGTTCTGGTGGTCCTGCCCCTTTCTTGTGTCTCAGAGGCCATTCTTAGAGCTCTAAAAACACCTCAGGTGTTAGCTAAGTGTCACCAATGGAAGGCCCTTAGCAAGCCAAAGCAGGAGAAAGAGAGAAATTGGGAGACAAACGGGAAAAGATGGAAATATGTATAAATGTGTATCAAAAGACGCAGTCTCCCATCCTTTAAGCGACCCAGGACAGGCTGTCAGATGCAGACCCAGGAAAGACAGCTGAGTCTTCCGGGAACCTACTTCCCCAGCCCTCTCGGTTCCCTTCGGCGGCGCAGGGTGGTCGCCCCGGGGCAATGAAACCTTAGCAGGGGCGGGCACAGGGAAGGGCCCACGCTCACTTTGCCGTCACTCTTTCTCCGGATCTTCTGGCAGCGGCCATAGGAGCCTGTGCCAATCGTGTACAGCACTTCATAGTCCTCAACCCGGGACGGCATGGCCGGGCCAGTCACCAGAGTCGCGCTGCCTCACGCAGTTGCGTCCCCAAGTGCGGAGCTCCAGGGATCGGGAGCTCCAACGACCCGAACGGAGAAACCCCAGAGTAGCACTAACCCGCTGCCCCTACCTTTGGCCCCGTTTAACCGTCGCGGGCCATGGCCTCGCAGGCTATTGGCAGGCGTTGAGCCCGCTTCGCCTCTCTGATTGGCTAAGAAGAACACAACAATATCCTAGGCATCTTGGGAAAAGTGTCGCTAGGCAACCGCGTCGGCGTCGGCTTTTAACCTCTGGGGAGAAAAGGGAGGAGCTAAACCAAAGGGAAGGCGGGAGAAAGGAAGTGGTAGCTGCAGCCTCTCGGCAACTCCAGCCCCCTGGTAGAGATCGCCAAGGTAAGCAAGATTTAAGGACCTCCCCTCAGACTCCTTTGCACACCGCTTCAACCAACTGTCTTCTGACCTTTGCACTCTGACTCCTCACACCACCTACTCTCCCCGGCACAACGCCCTTCTTGCTCCAGGTTCCAGCACCCTGAACCTGAGGTGGGGTCACGTTGAGGAGATGCTGAGGGCTGAATACAAATCAGAAATAGTCTCCCCGCCGAGCGCGGTGGCTCACGAACGGTGGGAAGCCTAGGCGGGTGGATTGCTTGTGCCCAGCAGTTCCAGACCAGCCTGGCCATCATGGCAAACCTCGGCTATACTAAAAATACGAAAATTAGGCCAGGCGCTGTGGCTCACGCCTGTAATCCTAGCACTTTGGGAGGCTGAGGTGGTCAGATTGCTTGAGGCCAGGAGTTCAAGACCACCCTGGCCAACATGGCGAAACCCCATCTCTACTAAAAATGCCCTCCACCAAAAAAAGAAAAACCAACATGGTGGTGCATGCCTGTAATTCCGGCTACTTGGGAGGCTGAGGCATGAGAATTGCTTGAATCCTGGAGGCGGAGGTTGCAGTGGGCCGAGATTGTGCTACTGCGCTCCAGCCTGGGCCACAGAGCAAGGACCCATTCTCCAAAAAAAAAAAAAGAAATGCAGTCGGTCTCCGACCAAGCACTTTACACGTCTTGTCCCGTTTATGTGTGCCAAACACATCATTAACCCTGTTGACAATGCTTCGTAGACAGACTCTTCGTTGACAGACTCTCTTTTAGGCACCCAAACAAACCAAGGTTCTCAGCTTACCTAGCCAAATGAACAGCCCCATGTTTACTAGGGAGGGAGCACCTAGAGGCCTCCATCCAGGGCTTATTGGGGGAATATGTACATTACCAGAAAGCTAATCATTTGGCAGTGCTTAAACTACCAGTTTTCTTTAAATATCTGTTCAGCATAGGATTGAAAGAAACCTGATTTTCTATTAATAAGAATTAAAAAGCTCTTTATGTTAAAAAATAAGGGACTTATTACATGCACCGAATATAACGTAAGATAATTGGAATTGCCAGCCAGGAGAATTTTTAAATTAACATTCAAGGGCACTGTCTTACCTCAAGGGAATAGGACCAATTTAGGTTTCAAAAGTTATGTAAGGCACTGCAAGTGGCTGTGTTAATTAGCATCATTTTTTATTTTTGTGGCTCTTACAGATTAGTATCCATAGAGTTTGCTGTGGTTTGAATGTATCCCCCAAAAGTTCACGTGTTGAAAACTTTATCCTTAATGCAACAGTGTTAAGAGGTGAGACCTTTAAATTGACTAGGTTATGAGGGCTATGCCCTCATGAATGGATTAATGTATTCACAGGAGTGGGTTATCTTGAGAATGGGCTGGTTATACAAATGAGTTTGGCTTTCCCTTGCTGTTTTACCATGTGATGCCTTCTGCTACGTTAGCAGACCCAGAAAAAAGGCTGCTGTCAGATGCTACTCCTTGATCCTAGACTTCCTAACTTCCAGAACCATGAGCCAAATAAACTGTTGTTTATAAATTGCTCAGTCTGTGGTATCCTCTTATAGCAACACGAAACTGTGTAAGACAGAGCCCTTTGGTAACCCTGCCCCAAATCCAGTCCTGCACCTTCTCTCTGGCCACTTCTGCTTTTGCTTTAAACGCTCACTTTCTCAGTTCCTCACCACCACCACCACCATCTTTGCACCTGTTATTGCATTTGTCTAGAATATTGTCTAACTCACTCCCTTATCCACTCCAGACATGTCTGTCCAGAGGACGCAACATGTCCTTCAAGACTCAATTCCAACTTTCTCTCCTCTAATCTGAGAAGCCTCTCTGGGATACTTGAACAGTCAATCCTCTACAGTGTTCATAGACCACTTTATACATAAAACAAACTTATTATTTGTTTACATGGGTCTCACAGTAGCCGAACTCCAAACTGCTTATAGCCAGCATAAGTCCTGTAATAGAGAAGGGATGCAATAAAGCTTTGTTAAATAAAAATCTGAGAAAGCCCCTTATTAATAATTATGCAAGAATTTTTACTGGGCCCTCAAGTACTCAGTTTTCAAATGTCCTAGCTCTAGGCAGAGACTAGAGAGATGGGAAGGAGCCATCCCAAAAGTATGGAATGTGGCTCCTAGGCACACATGCTCATTCAACAAGTATTTATTGAGCATTTGCTATGGGCCTGGTATAATGATAGGCATTGACATGCTGGGTTTTCATTTAAAAAAAGAAAACAGCAGAGCCACAAAGACAATGATAAAGAGTAGCATAGGAGGCCAGGCATGGTGTCTCATGCCTGTAATCCCAGTACTTTGGGAGGCCAAGGCAGGCAGATCACCTGAGGTCAGGAGTTCAAGACCAGTGTGGCCAATATGGTGAAACCCCATCTCTACTAAAAGTACAAAAATTAGCTGGGCATGCTAGTGCGCCTGTAGTCTCAGGTACTCGGGAGGCTAAGGCAGCAGAATCACTTAAACTCGGGAGGCTGAGGTTGCATCGAGCTGAGGTCGCACCACTGCACTCCAGCCTGTGCAATAGAGCAAGATTCTGTCTCAAAACAAAAACAAACAAACAAAAAGAGTAGCATAGGAATCGCATGACAAATCCTAATGGTTGACCAGAGTTAGCCCACATCGTGAATGAGGGTGGGGCAGCCCAGCAGAGACCACTAGACACCAGAATATATAGAGACACTGGGCTGGGCACGGTGGCTCACGCCTGTAATCCCAGCACTTTTGGAGGCTGAGGCAGGCGGATCACTTGAGGTTAGGAGTTCAAGACCATCCTGACCAATATGGTGAAACCCCATCTAAAAATACAAAAATTTGCTGGGCGTTGTTGCAGGCACCTGTAATTAAAGCTACTCAGGAGGCTGAGGCAGGAGAATTGCTTAAAATCCAGTAGGTGGAGGTTTCAGTGAGCTGAGATCACACCACTGCATTAAGAGAGTCCATCTTAAAAAAAAAAAAAAAAGAAAGAGACACTGGGGGCTGAGGAGCATGTGGGAGTTAAACAGGGACAGGTTACAGGGAACATTCTGTCCCCATAACTTCTTTCCTTTTTCCTTCATATTCCATCTATTCGTTAGGTCTCAGCTCATTCCCAGTTTCTTCCCTGAAATTTTTCCTGATTGACTTTAACCCACTATGATCTTCTAATTACTCTTAAGAGTAATCAACTTTGTTTTTACTCATTTAGTATTATACTAGACTATCCTACTAGCTTCTCATGTTATCTGCCTTATTAAATAGAAAATTCATCCTCCACCAAGTATAAATTGAGGCTCAGCCAGGTGCCAGATGCTGAGGACACCACAGTGAATAGGACAGACATATAGTCCTGTAGGTGGAAGAGAAGGATGTAACCTAAGTACACAGAGAAACTCAACTGTGACAAATGGTAGTAAGAGTTCAGAAGAAAACAAACGAAGAACTGAGATGATTACATTTAAACAGAGAACTAAGATGAGCAGCTCTGTAAGAGTGGGACCAACCCTTGAACTTCTCTATCATCACTCTCCCCACACCCCTGGTCTAACTCACTGTCTGCACACTTTTCTTGCTAACTGTGCTCATGTTGCCAGTTTTCATTTAAATTTGGTGAAATCTCAAATAAGAGTGTATTTGCACTTGTGTTTTCTCCCACAGACACTCTATATGTGGCCATAGACACATTGATTACTATTATTGTTATATTTTGAGACAGGGTATCACTCTGTAGCCCAGGCTGGAGTACAGGGGCCTGATCACAGCTCACTGCAGTCTCAGTCTCCTGGGTTCAAAGCAATCCTCCCACCTCAGCCACCTGAATAGCTGTGACCACTGGTCACATGCGCAGCCAATTTTTTTTAACTTTTTGTAGAGACAAGGTCTCACTAAGTTGCCCAGGCTGATCTTGAACTCTCAGGCTCAAGCCCCTCAGCCTCCCAAAATGCTGAGATTTCAGGCATGAACACCACACCTGGCCTGATTAATTTTTAATTTTAGGTTTTTTTTGTTTTTTATTTTTGAGATGGAGTCTCGCTGTGTCACCCAGACTAGAGTGCAGTGGCTCAATCTTGGCTCACTGCAACCTCCACCTCCCAGGTTCAAGAGATTCTCCTGCTTCAGCCTCCTGAGTAGCTGGGACTACAGATGTGTGCCACCACACCTGGCTAATTTTTGTATTTTTAGTAGAGACGTGGTTTCACCATGTTGGCCGGGCTGGTCTTGAACTCCTGACCTCAAATGATCTACCCGCCTCCACCTCCCAAAATGCTGGGATTTACAGGTGTGAGCCACTGCATTCAGCATGTAAATAATTTTTAAAGGAAGCTTGGGGCCGGGCGCAGTGGCTCAAGCCTGTAATCCCAGCACTTTGGGAGGCCGAGGCGGGTGGATCACGAGGTCAAGAGATCGAGACCATCCTGGTCAACAAGGTGAAACCCCATCTCTACTAAAAATACAAAAATTAGCTGGGCATGGTGGCGCGTGCCTGTAATCCCAGCTACTCAGGAGGCTGAGGCAGGAGAATTGCCTGAACCCAGGATGCGGAGGTTGCGGTGAGCCAAGATAGCGCCATTGCACTCCAGCCTGGGTAACAAGAGCGAAACTCCGTCTCAAAAAAAAAAAAAGAAGAAGCTACTTGGAAGATTAATGAGTATCCCAAACTTAACATGGCAAAAATCCAGTTCCTGATCTTTATCCCAAATTTGTTCTCCATCTTCTTAGTCTCCAGTAACTAATGCATCTGGTTTTGTTGTTGTTTGTTTGATTTACTGCTGTATTCCCAGCACCTAAAATGTGCCTGGAACAAAGCAGGCACTTCGCATTTGTACATCAAATGAATGGATGAATGAATGAAGCCATGCTTCATTGCCCTCCACTTCTTTTTTTTTTTTTTTAATGTTGCATTAAAGACCCACTAGAGGGCTGTACATCACTGCATAATAAATTAGGAGCTGGCGCCAGCAAGGATGCACTTCTCCACCTGCAGAAGCCTGTCCCTAC